TCCCCTTGTGCTGGGCAGATCTCTTTTGGACAACAAAATCAATGTCATTCCACCAAGCTTCTTCTTGGGACTCTCCAACCTTCTTAATTTGTAAGTACAGGGTCGCTTAGGCAGTCATGGTACATCAATGTTGTGCCATATTAAACCTTTAATAAAGAACAGCTATAAATAGAGAATGGACTCGGAGCTAGAGCTGTTAGACGACTAGAGCTAGAGCTGTTAGCCAGTTAGTTGTAGAACGTCAGTACCGTCGGTCAGTGTCGTGCAATGTCATCGCATAAGCTGATTGTTTAGTAACTGGTGGTGTTAGTGGACATTATAGCGTAGCTTGCAGGGGCGTAGCAGCCGGTGCGGCCGGTCCGGCCCAAGCCGGACCACTTTCTTTTAACACAATGCCCCAAGTGCCCAGAATGCAGGATTTTGCACCGTAATTTCAAACATTTTCCTAATAAAGAACAGCTATAAATAGAGAATGGACTCGGAGCTAGAGCTGTTAGACGACTAGAGCTAGAGCTGTTAGCCAGTTAGTTGTAGAACGTCAGTACCGTCGGTCAGTGTCGTGCAATGTCATCGCATAAGCTGATTGTTTAGTAACTGGTGGTGTTAGTGGACATTATAGCGTAGCTTGCAGGGGCGTAGCAGCCGGTGCGGCCGGTCCGGCCCAAGCCGGACCACTTTCTTTTAACACAATGCCCCAAGCCGGACCACTTTCTTTTAACACAATGCCCCAAGTGCCCAGAATGCAGGATTTTGCACCGTAATTTCAAACATTTTCCTAATAAAGAACAGCTATAAATAGAGAATGGACTCGGAGCTAGAGCTGTTAGACGACTAGAGCTAGAGCTGTTAGCCAGTTAGTTGTAGAACGTCAGTACCGTCGGTCAGTGTCGTGCAATGTCATCGCATAAGCTGATTGTTTAGTAACTGGTGGTGTTAGTGGACATTATAGCGTAGCTTGCAGGGGCGTAGCAGCCGGTGCGGCCGGTCCGGCCCAAGCCGGACCACTTTCTTTTAACACAATGCCCCAAGTGCCCAGAATGCAGGATTTTGCACCGTAATTTCAAACATTTTCCCCGGGGACACCCCCCCCCCCCTCCGACCTGACCACCTCCAACAGCGGTGCTACGCGCCTGACTTGTAGTTCCTGGGTCCTTTTTTCTTTTCTATTAACATAGAAACATTATAATTATTATGATGTCGCTACACATGCGTGCGTTTACATTTGTGCGTGCGTGGGTGTGTGGGTACATGCTGGGTGTATGCTAATCCGTTGCCTGTCATTGCTGTCAGCAATAGGCATGTTTAAGGTTCATGGTGTGTGTGTGTGTGCGCGTATGTGTGTGTGTGTCGGTATGTGTGTGTGTCGGTGTGTTTGTGTGTGTGTGTGTCGGTGTCGTGGCATGTGCATGTTGCACCCTGTCCGCTCAGAATTCTATCAAGTAACCCACTGCAGGGGAGGATTTCTCAAATGCAACTTAATGGACTGACCTCGCTGCAACACCTGTAAGTTTACCACCACTTCTCAGCTAAATGGAAATGGGAAAGATTCCCAATACCAAGCCACAGTCCCCAGAGAAGGATAGTCAGGATCTTGCCCAGCGAAGTGTCCACCGGGCGCAGAATGCCAGCTTCTAGAGGGTTCTACCTGCGGCCATTTTTTTGATTAAAAAAAGGGAAATTTCCGTGTCCGTTCCCGGAGGGAATTCACGACGGTCGCTAACCCGGAATAACCTGGCGGCAGATACAACACATAAACGGTGGGGCGAGGGGATAAGTCTCACGACCATTGGCACAAGTGCTGTTTAATATGTACCGGGGGCTCTAAACCGACAGTTGATGGTAATTCAACCCAATCGGCAGTTTGTCAGTTGCACCTGTGCTGGCTGCTTCCCCAGTTCGAGTTCAAGGTCTGAGTCTTGAACAGGGATATACTCTCAGAAATTTTCGGTGCTCAATATTCTCGGTATGAGGGCAAAGGGACAGGTTAGGTGAACAGAAATTTTAGGTACAGAGAAGCAGTTCCCTATTGGATTTTGTGTGTTGGTGTTTGTTCGGTGTATTGAAATTTTAGGTATGAAACAGATGCACCGAAAGTACCGAAAATAAAA